TAGTGACAGATTTGTGGTGTCCCCAGCTATGCCCCTTGGTGTCCCGCCTGCCAGAACCTGCAGCCCGAGTGGGAGAAGTTTGCCGAGTGGGGCGAGGACCTGGAAGTGAACATCGCCAAAGTGGATGTCACGGAGCAGCCGGGTGAGAGTCTGGTGGGGACGGCTCCTAACGCCCTCCCCGCGGCCTGGGGCTTCTCAGCGCTCGGGGAAGATGTTCGGTGCAGGTCTGTGTGCTTTTAGAACATAAAGGGAATCGGTAGGAATAATAACGAGCTTTTCCTGATCTCTTCTGAAGGCAGGTTGCTATACATAGACTAAGCAGGCTAGTCTGTATTAACAGATAAAGGAAACGAGAGGGTTTCTCTAGAAAGTGACTTGGAGGATTTCCAGGAGACTTTTGACCTTACCTTTTAAGCAACATCCAGAGCAAAAACGTGGCCTCAGCTTTCCCTGTAGCAGTACCTCCCTTTGGCAAAAAGGAGCGCAAGCAGTCTGGTCTCCCTCAGCTGAAGCTCACTTCGTTGGATTGCCCTCACGTCTGTGTGGGGTTTGTAAAAATGACCTTGTCTGTGCTAATACTTTTCTCCAGAGTCACGTAAGAACTTTTAAAATTTGCCTCGCTTGGATTATTTTCTGCAAGCACTGGAGGTTGCAGATCATGGGGGAAAAGAAGAGAACATCTCTCTGAAGAGCTACAGCCAAAGTAGTCAAGTAGAACAGTTATCCCCGGACATCTCTATTTTTTTTTTCCCTCATGGAGAAACTTTCTTGCTCTTTGTCCAGGAGCTCTTCTTTTAGATTGTGTGCAGTACTTTGATGTGCACAAGTTTATGTTTGATCACAATTAAAGATTGATACCCGGGAGCAGCTGGTTTTATTCCAGCGTATAATAACATTTCTTGCCTTTTGTTACGTTAAGAGTGCTCTGCTGTTCTGAAAGTAACTGTTTTTCTTGCAGGATTGAGTGGACGATTTGTCATAACAGCTCTTCCTACCATCTATCAGTAAGTATGCAATGCAGCAGGATTTTTTGGGGGAGGGAGGACTTTTTCTTGGCGGGGGGAATGAATGAGATTTACCATGCTTTTTAAGAATGTCAGTTACTTTACACAGAGGCAACCATTGTCTTACCTGCTGTCACCTTACAGTACTGCCAGTTTTTTTTTTTTTTTTTTTCCCCTTCAGGCCTTGTTTATTCTATCTTTTCACGGGTGTTTCTGTTTTGCAATCTTTTCTTTGTACATTGATCTTAATACGGCTGTGTGACAAGTGCATTAGGAAGATCATTATCTTTTTATGGAATCGCAACCTAAAGCTAGCCAAGATACACGTGGAGTCAAAATTCTAGAAATACTTGTAGTCAAGATTTTTGAAGATTTTTGGAAAACATTTTAGAGCCAATATCATCTAAAGTGAAGTAAAACTAAAAAAAAAAAAAGGCAAGAGGATGGGAGGGAAGATGTTGAGTGGAAGCAAATGCTGCATGCTTGGACTGTCTAAAATAAACATTTTTTGTTTGGTTTACAGCTGTAAAGATGGAGAGTTCAGGAGATACCAGGGTGCAAGAACTAAAACTGATTTCATAAATTTCATCAGTGACCAGGAATGGAAGTCTATTGAACCACTTTCTTCATGGTTTGGCCCTTCCTCTTTCCTGTAAGTTTTGGTATGATTTTTATAATAATTTATTGTCAAATATGCACACTTTAAGGACGTGCTGGGACAGGTCCTTAGGTGTGCCACACCCAGTACTTCCTCCTTGTTAACAGCGCATGCAGCAGCTCTGTGCTGGTAAGAAGTATGTGAACGTGACGGGTGGGTGGTCATGCCTCCTTCGTCAGCTGTGGGAGGATTGTGTGCACTGGCATAGCAAAGGTGTCCTGAGCAAGGCTTACTTTAAAGCTTCAAATAGTTATAGCTGGCTGTGTGTGTTTTACTAAACTCTTGTAGGTAACTTCCTGACACTTGAAGTTTTTCTTTTGTTTATATGGAAGAAAGATGTTTTGCCCAGCTCAATTCTAAGCAATTACCAATAAAAACTGGGAAATCATGTAGCAACATAGTTGTAAGATATGGGCTGGCCATCTAAGAAGAGAGATCTGTAGCGAAGTTAAAAGCAGAGTGGAAGGGTGAAGGTTCCTTCATTGAAGGAAAAGTGAAGTGAGGAGACTGTAGTCTGAGAAGAAACATGCTTTTTTGGAATTCTTTCTAGTTTTGTGACTTTGAAGTGCTTTTAGTTGTTGCTGCGTGTGCTGTGTAGTGGTTTCAGAGTAGTTGAGTACTGTGAGTGATAAAGCATGTTGCAGGCACCATTGATTGAGGCAAATGACCCCAATTGTTTGTGTTTTTTCTTCTGTTAGAGCAATGGAACACCTCTGTGCTAACTGTACTGTGCTGTAGCAGTGTTCAGTTTATGGAGTATTATGCTAGACTGAATTTTACATTTTTTTGTGGCTCTTCTAGGAAGCTCAGCATTGCTACTTCGTGTACTCGCAATGCTATTTGAATCTTCAAACCATGTGGTTGATCTACAAAGTATTAACCCACACCCAGGAGTGTGTGAAACGGGGTACTAATTTTAGGATTAATAAGTTTTGTCTTAGAAGTGTATGGTACCAGCTCCGTTTTTTGTGCATACTGAAACAGTATGTGGGCTGCTTCTATGGCGCTCTCATTAGCAACTTAGGTTGGCCTAATGTTTCAAGTTCTCCTTTCCTTTACAGATAGTGAATACTTAATGTTGAGTGTTTCACAGTAACAGGGAAATGTCAGAATCTGCAGGTTATACGTGGCAGATAGCCTGGTCTTTTTCATTTGTATGCAAAACACGACTAAACTTAAGTGTCTGAAGATCTCTCAGTTCTTACATAACCTGACTTTTTTTTTAGATTAATTTTTTGTTTTAATAAAATCTCCAGATGCTTAATTCTTGGTATCTTGAATAGAGTTTCGTCTGGCTTCCCATAGACTGTTGGTCCAAATATATCTTAGAACATAAACAAAAGTAACTGAAATTCATATGTCAGCAGATCCAAGTCAAGGAAGTTTGTGGATGTGTCGTTGTCCATATGTGGAACATTATACAAGCTGATGTTGGTACTGAAGGTAGCTTCACGGGAAACGAGTGTTCATTGAAGTAAAAGACAAAACAGAAGATAAAAATCAAAGTAGTTAGAAGGGAAACCAGATGTGAGCAGAAAGTTTAAATAATGACCAGTCAGGCAAATCAGAAGATGCAGGTATGTGACTGGCTTACAGATGTTCTCAGTTACTTTTTTCTGCTTTGTTTCAGGATGAGCAGTGTGTCAGCTTTGTTTCAGTTGTCAATGTGGATCAGGGTACGTGCTTAGATCTCTACTTTATTTTATCTTAACAGATGTGATATTCAGCTATTCTTGAAATGATTCTCTTGTCTTTTATTCCAGCACTGCCATGGTTATTTAACAGAAAATGTTGGAATACCGGTCTGGGGTTCATACGCTCTTTTTGCGTTGGCAACTCTGTTCTCGGGACTGATACTGGGACTTGTAAGTGAAGCACTTGAAACAGATTGGCTTGTGACTACTGTGTATTACACTAATGCTGCCTTTGCTTCGGTCTTTAATAGTCAGACCAGTTACCCTTGGGGTACCTAGCCTGTTGGGCTGGAAGACAGGGATGGGGAGCAGAATGAAGCCCCTATAATCCAAGGGGAAATGAACCTGCTACACCACTTAGACACACACAAGTCTGTGGGGCTGGATGGGAGCCACGCAAGGGTACTGAGGGAGCTGGTGGCAGTGCTCACCCAGCCACTTCCAATCCTTTATGAGCAGCCCTGGCTCACCGGGGAGGTTGTGGTTGACTGGAGATTAGCAAATGTGATGCCCATCTACAAGAAGGGTGGGAAGGAGCATCCGGGGAACTACAGGCCTGTCAGTCTGACCTCGGTGCTGGGGAACGTTATGGAGCAGATCATCTTGAGTGCCATCACACAGCATGTACAGGACAAGCAGGTGATCAGGCCCAGTCAGCATGGGTTTATGAAAGGCAGGTCCTGCTTGACCAACCTGATCTCCTTCTATGACAAGGTGACCCGCTTAGTGGATGAGGGAAAGGCTGTGGATGTTGTCTACGTAGACTTTAGTAAGGCCTTTGACACCGTTTCCCACAGCATTCTCCTGGAGAAACTGGCTGCTCGTGGCTTGGACGGGCGCGCTCTTTGCTGGGTAAAAAACCGGCTGGGTGGCCGGGCCCAAAGAGTTGCAGTGAATGGAGTTAAATCCAGTTGGTGACCGGTCACCAGGGGTGTTCCCCAGGGCTCAGTGTTGGGGCCGGTTCTGTTTGATATCTTTATCAGTGATCTGGACGAGGGGATCGAGTGTATCCCCAGTAAGTTTGCAGATGACACCAAGCTGGGCAGGAGTGTTGGTGTGCTGGAGGGTAGGAAGGCTCTGCAGGGG